ACCATGACGATTGTAAATGATTCTGACAGTTCGCATCAGACCCAGATAGCTGTCGAATAAACATTATCAACGGAAGTGTATGAAACTTTTGACTTATTTTGCATGCCACTAAATAGGATACAAATGATGCAAATGAACGAAGGGAGTTTTGCCGACCGTGACGCATCCTAACCCTTCCCGTATGACCATTGAATAAGTCCCTTTCAATACCGCGTCCAGCGCATCCTACTCGCTCTTTTCCTCGAACAGTACGAATAACTACTCTCTACTGTATTCACAAAACTTAAGTCAGAGAATATTGTTTAAAATGGGCAAGAAATAAGTACCATGCATTCAAAAAAAACACAATTCCATTACTATCATCCAACCGAGAGAGATCAACGTTTCATAGGTAACAGAAGATGTGCCGATAATCGAGGAGTATCCATCGAATCCACGAATTAATAGGAGACGGTGAAATGAGATCATTCATCCAATCTCTCTTTATCTCTGGTTTTTGTTTAGGGCAGCAATAAAATAAGAAACTGTACTTTCAAACCAATGCTATCGAATTAAATATCTATTTGAAAATATATGGGACTGTGTGAGAGAAATGATGCAAAGTCACTTGAAAAGGACTAACAGATTTATTGCTCTGATCTAAAAAGTCATTAGAAATAAAAATAATAACTTTCGTGGATATCTGAATCGTGTTTTACGGATCAGTTTTATTTATTAGAATAGCCGAATGAAAATGAGCACAAAGTTGTCTTTGCTATTCAGGATAAAACGGAAACGCCTTTTTTGAGCGTTACATCTGCAACTTGGACGATCCATCCGATAGGAGTTCTGGAACACCTCTCAGACGGTGAGTGTTCGTGATGGTTTGCCACCATTCAAGATCTCGGTGGCATACCGATGATAGTTCCCTCTGTAAATTACCAATTCTATTCAGTTTTGAGTGACCCAAGTAACAACAAGCATAGGTGCTTGCTTCGCACCAGTAGAACCGAGAGAACTTCAAGAACGGTGTTCCCGTATGTAGAACATTTTAGGGGTTGATGCTCAAGGGGTAGAAGTCGTTCACTTGTGAGGCTCGTTATTCTCACCAGAGTAAAGAATAGTGACCATTATACTGGCATGCCAAACGCAAGTCCCTACGCGAACGTGCACTAATATGGAAGAAACTGCATCGTTTCTGTTCTCATCAATTCCTTCTTGCGACACGTTTTCTTCAGGGTTTACGGGTTGCACGTCGCACCTCACCGAACGCAAAACATGAATTTTTGGCTCACTGACACACCAGATAGCAGTGATCGCGTACGCGTGCCCGTTGGATACATGCTGCTCAATTTAGAACCAGATTGTTTTTCTATATTTTTCTCAACTTTATGGCTTTCCATCTCCTCGGAACTACCGATTTATCGGAGAGCTAATCTTGACATAGCACATATTGCATTAACCCAAACAAAAGAACCGTTCGCAAAACGATCATCTCAGAAGACATCCCTTGAAGTTGAGGATCCAAGTATATCACCTGGATTACCAGGATCACTGGTGCGCACTCACAAAGTACATTTTTAGGAGCTCTGTTCCATCCCATGTCGCGTGTGCTCCTACAGTTGAATTATAAGGATTGCAAATTCATAAATTTTTCCGAATCATCCTGTAATTGTCCTAAGCAAAATGATAAGCGTTAACATTGGTATATCGCCCCTTATAAAGCCTTCAACTTTGAACTTTGATGCAACTGCTGTACTCCCTCTTCTTCGTCACTTCGGTTTTATCGCTGTTTAAAAAAATTTGAACGCGACTCACAACAACTAGCAAAAAAAACGAATAAATACATACGCGCAAATTGTCTTTCCCTGTGAACAGATTCGCACACGTTGGTCACTGCAATATGCACCTATGAAGAGTCCTTCAAATTTGCTGGATGTTAAAGCCATCAGGCTTACCTGTTCAGAGGATGCAGTCTAATGGATTGGTCTCTGAATGGCGTCCAAACTGGAAATCAATCTTTGTGTGAGATCGATAACTAATTTTTATCTATAAGCTCTCAGTCAACAAAATTATTTTTTTATTAAGTTGAAACAGATATTTACCTGATTAATTTGGGGAGAGAGAAGCCAGCAGTAGCTAAATTGTGGGATTTTGTTCGGCGGACCATTTGGCTGCGTCTCCCTGGGCGCCTACCACAGTCAAATACAATGTTTTTTTGAGTGTTTGGGTATGGATTTCAAAATGAGCTAGCTTAAATACGGGAGGGGGAGGAAGTGTCTACAGGGAAAAGCATCCGGCCCGATTTACATTCCTTTATTTTGTAATTCATCCCCGAGCTCTTACAAAAATATTCTGTTTGCAAAGTAGATAAACTATGCAATGTTGCCCCTACTAACTTCTGTTTCCATGCTATCTTTTGCTGAATCAGCATTCGCTTCATATTATTTTGGAAATAAGAAAGTGTAATATTGTTGGATGTTAACAAGGAAACAGGAAGCACTCATCAGTATCTGATCATCTTTGGTGTGAACAACTCTACAGTGATCAGCCCGTACTCAGGAAATCGGGGATTTCCTGCAACTGAGCCGAGAGTGTACAATCGTTTGGAAATTATTGCAACACTTTCTGTTCTCACAATCAAAACTGGCGGCAGTTATGCTGGCATATCAAACACACGCCCCTATACAAAAACTTGTGTCCACTTCGAACTGAGACTGTTATCAACACGTATTCCATGCGACACGTATTCATCGATGATGATCATGATGATCATGATGATGGTTATTAAGCGTCATTAATCAAACTCACGCCATCAATCGTAAATCACAACCGTTAATCTGACTAATACGTAGATCACAAGTGATTGTGTACATGTGCCCATAAATGGTAATCAGGATAACTTCCAAAGAAACTTTAGATTACTCGCAGCTCCTTTTCATTTTATATTCAGCTGAGTTCGTCCCGCTTATTTCTGGCGATTCGGGGCTTGTTTTGAAACTTCCATCACACGGAAAGCTGAGTGTCTTGAATAATCCGGGGAATACTCAGATTTTCGATGTTGCGCATGATATCCCAGGTGCCGCATTTTCATGCCCGCGTTGAGTGACATATTCCTCAGCCGTTCATTTTCGATATCAAACAGCACACATTCATGCATCGCTTGCCATGTTTCGCAGTTGTGATGATCCAAATCTGTGAGATCACGCCAGCCAAACAACTACGCGTTCAAGATCTTGGACATGACATGACAGGTCAAAATAATCGTCCAATCAACGGTCGCATAGTTCACACAGGAATCGTGTGACTTGGAGAACGAGAACGATGTTTGCTTGATGTCCGTTGACCAATGCTACATCTGATTACGTACTATTTGTATCATCTATTCCTATCAATAAACAAACCGCTATTTCATTTGTTATTCCCAGCATATAGATGACGGGAGATTCCAGCATACAATTGCTAGTGCTCCACTTGCCACTGGGTTTCGTGGTCCTTAGTTTGTGTTTATTCCAACTATCGCACTAACTCACAGTAACTTGTGAGTGGTGGTGTGTGGTATGAGTGATACTGATTTGAACTGAGAAACCTACGAACTTCAGCTTCGCGCACAATCCTCCAGTCCACCGCACACTCAAAATAATCAAATTGGAGTTCCGACCTCTATTTGAGCTCATCAGTAGTGAATTCCAACGACCCCCTTTCATTTAGAAATCAGAACACATCGCATGGAGTGCAGGTGTGTTACCAATATACCAATCAGCTCATTAAAAGGCGAAACAGAATCGCCTGTTCATGTTTGTTCAATAATTGTCAGTCCATTCGTTGCTGTCGGACCGGTAGTGAAGTGAAAGCACGGTAGAAATACCCTACCAATGAGTCCTAAAAAAGCGCGAGACTCCAGTCTACTCCTTCCAAGTGGATGGTTGACTCGAAAGACTGAGGATTAAGGATTAAGGTGAATTATGAAGAACGGTCCGTTCAAATCAATACTCTATATTACACTAGAGTGGAACAATCATGTTTTTCGACATTTTCGATAAATGTCATCTGCCCTTTATTCTGTCGCCGATTAGCGCCTAGTGATCGTACTCATCGGCTTCAAAATACTGCAGATTGCAAACCAAACTTTCGCACATCGATGAACATTGTTGATTGATCGCAGCACAATACATTCTATGCCCTTCGCGCACATCATTTCATTCATGATAGAAAGACAAAAAAGTATCAGCAGTACACAAAGACCTTCAAACTACTCAAATCAATACTTAAAATTCAATCACTAACAGAACAACATGCAGATACAACAACACTTTGGTACCTAACGCGAATATTACACTATTTCCAAAACAATTTGCAGTTTCCCTATACATCTGTGTCCGAGAAACACGCCCTGTCGTTAACTGGGACGCGGAGTCACGCTAACCTAGAGTCCACATTCTGTACGACCAAAAAGATGCGATGAATTTGATCAAACGTGTTTTCCGATCCAGTAGAAGGTTGAACCGTTATCCCAGATAACCCACACATCGCACACGTTTCATTGAACTCATCATGTGACATACGGAGCCAAGCCATGTGCATCATCGAACAGTGGTATTCATTGGCTACCGAACCGTTCAATGTGAGCGATAGAAGAAAGCTATAAAAGAAACAGTATGCGGATTGCATTGCACCATGCCAACAGCTCAGAATTGCTCTTTGAGTAAGCACAGCGTTGTTTGAGCTTGGAAGACCCCAGACAGCGACACACCGACAATTGCTAGAGGTTAGTTCGGTCATCACATTCCATCCCAGCACAACCCATCTGATTCCACGCATCAGGGATATTCGTTTGACCTCAACTGGTTTATCATTGGCATCTGCATCGGACTTATAATCTATTAAATGTAGGTCATTTATTGATTGAATAAACATAAATTTGGTCTCAAGCTCTACCTTGATGGATGCTTCACAGATTGTGCATGGTCGTTTAGGGTTGCGTTTATTTGGCGACTCATCCATCTATTTGCTTACGAAATATGAAACATGCTCATCACATTCCACTTCTGGTGCATTATTTCATTCTATTCAGCCCAATCATCATCGCCATGATTTCCGGCAAAGAATTGGTTCGTTGGACTGTCTACATGGGGATCCCAACGATTTCTCTTTTGCGACTCGCCGTTCCGAACAATCGTGTGCGACAGGCTATCGCACATCGTGTGGCCCAAGTCGATCAATCCAGTGTGAGTGCTATGAATGGTTGATGCATTGAACACTGCCCTTTGGGAATGGTGGGTTTTCTGAATGAACATTTTATGGTGCATTACCAATAAATGCTTGTCATTTGGTATCAATGTGAGTTACTCACCTTATTCCTTCCTATCGATTCCACAAGCGTATTTCGTTAGCACCAATTCACAGAACACTGATGGGAGTAAGCAGCAATCGGAAGCTGAACAGAACTAAGTATATCCAGTCTGGATATTTGGGTGGCATTTGTACAGTACACGTTCCCGCTAATCGTGTCTGATCACGCATCATCCTGTGCCATGCATTTCGACCGTGTTCAATGTTCGTGCAATAAATTTACGTCACTCATGGTGACCTGAACTGCGTGATCTATCGAGAGAAATGTGGACATCGCGTACCTTCACATTTCTCTGCTCATCTTCTTTCTCCAAACATTAATCCGGATAATGTCCAACTGTCATCTCCGAGTTTTCCCACTGCTAACCAATTCGTTTTGAGTATGTTTGGGTTGTCAAACCAAATTGCTATTCAATCCCCGTCAGTTCGTTTTCAAACGTCTTTTCATACCGTATGAATTCATGTACACAAACAATTTCTTTGCACGCAAAAGCACTCCTGAATACGCAACCTGCATGCATTTGGTCCCTTCGCCGTTGTGCGCGTATCGCGACTAGCAGCCTTGTCTTGAATGATTTCAATCCAGTTCAAACCAGATAATCCAACAGAATCAGGTTGGACACTGTTCGATTAGTACTGCGTTTATTTCGTGCGTATTGAAACGAGTGTAGGTCTTTCGTGAATATCCTCACAATGCGTATCACCTTGTGACTGAGCATTACCATCTAGCACTAGTTCGGACAAACTCGGATAAGTATACTTCTATGTACACAGTTTCAATATTCTCGTAAACTCATTGGGAGAAAAAGTTTTTGAGCGAACAATTGTTTTCGGAAGTTCCCGATCATGGTAATATATCACATGGTGGCAATACGCTTGAATAGTCAGTTGATCAGTTCAGTTGGGTTACGCGAAGTCAGAGTGGAGAGGCTTACGGACGCAGCCGTGGGAATCCCCAGTTCCTAACTCTGAATAATGACCTGAAATCGAGCAACTGGCCGGCGTTTGGTAAGCACTAGACCACTAAGTGATATGCTGAGAAAACTACTCAATATTTCTTCATTGACTTGTTTTCTCAATCTCACGATCACTCAGCTGCGTTCTCCCACTGACACCGGTGCAATTCTACAGTCACAGTGTATCAGCTTGTTATCTCTCAATATTTTTCCACATCAGTCTAGCTTACCATCACCCAAAAATTGTTGTTTCCTTCGCGGACTGACAAACTGGGCCAATGATACGGTCGGATTTACTTCCCTCCTCAGAAGCTAATCTTACTTTCGTGAACCGCGTAGAAACGTTATGCTTCCTCTAGAAACGCTTTCATGTCCACAACATTTTACATTTACAATGAAGTGAATGTGCGGGCGTTT